GGTGCTTGGTAACCAGCCTGTAATTTACCATTGTTGAAGGGTCACATGATGCCATCTGCGAACTTCCCAACTATCTTCCATTAAGCAAAGTCAATGGAGGAAACTAAATTCATTTAACGACCACTTGATTTACCTAACAATTGTAATGATTTGCTTGACCATGGCAAACAAATGTCATAACAATGCCATAATTCACCTAACAGCCATCTTGCTTAACAAGGAAACTTCTAGTCTCAATTGTGGTTATAAGTTGAGGACTACGTGTATTCATTTCAGCCTTGACCACAGAATCTGTATGCCAGATAAAGACCTTTTAATCCCCAGTGAATTTAGCATTCTGTATTCACTTGTGACAATGCAATGACCACATTACCACAAACAAAAGGACATCCATCTGCTGTGTCAAAGATCAAATGAGGACAAATAGAATTTGGAGAAACAATTCTTTTAAGCTAGAAATTCACAATCTTTGAATAGGACTGATGTGACCTCTCCTGACATTTTATCCTCCAATTGTTGAAATGAAATATCAATTATCCCCATCCAGAATAACAAGGAGAGGGTGAAAAATGGTACTTTTTTAATCAGTTAACAATCATCAACTGATCAATCAGATCAATTTCTTGCTTTAGAATAATAATTGTAATTGAACATATTTGGAGTCATCAGATGGGAGAGGCTGATCAGTTTTTAATCTACAAATCTAGAATGGTTGTATATGACACCACACAGCCTATATCCTGCTCTCTTATTGGTGGCAGTTACATTTTATTTTCCCACATGCCCACTGAATTTGTTTCTGAATAGGTCAAGTTATCTTATATCCCTGCTGTAAGAGATCATGCCTGCAGCTCAAAACCAATAAGCAGCAAACAGGTCATAGGTGGGAGGAGGCAGCCCTGTTATTTCCCTTTCTTTCCAATAACCAGGCTCTGAGTATGTCTGTATAAAAGAGAGAAGGCTGTTGCACTGTATGCATTTATGATAGTGTGTGTAATTTCTATGTAACAATGGAGCGATCCATGAGGGAGAGAGAAAGAGAAAGAGCAATTACAACTGGATACAGACATGTACTCAGCCTCTACCCCGACCCACTAGCTCATAGTCCTTTAGATTAGAAATGTTGGCCATGCCAGTTCTTCAAGGCTTCAAATATATAATTTAGCTGTCACAACGTTAAGATTTTCAAATTCATTATTTTGTATTGGATCATCTATAATATATGCTGTGAAGACAGTTTAAACTTAATTCCTATCTATTCCTGATGGATTTTCAAGGTCACAAACAGAAATGTGTAATACATTTGGAGTACTAAATTGCAAATAATTCATGCAGAAGGATGAAGTTTGTTTCTGTTGCCCTACCAATCTTTTTCCCCGTCCCATACACTTTCTGTGCTAGTGCATTACAAACTCCATTTTCACTTGTATGTCTCTCTAGAAGAAAGTTTCACTGAAATCAATAAGATTTATGAGCAGAAAAGCCTAGAGCTGGTGTACACAAAATGAGTTCTGGAACTCAGCTATCAACCAGAATTAGACTCATTAAAAACATTAAACCTAAGATTGCTTATATAACATAGGAGAATGAAATAAAAGTGGTTGGCATTAATTAAGGCACAATGCTCCTAGCGCATTGATTTCTATGCGATTGATAGAGTGCATTGATTTCTCTGGAATACTACAATTTAAAAAACAGATTTCCTTATGTTACAACTTTTAAAGAATCTGTGTGAGGACACTTGGAATTCTGAAAGAGATGGCATACATTATAAAATTCTGAAAGAGATGGCATTACAAACAAACCTATGGGTTAGTTAAGATATTAGTTAAGATGTGGGAAGGATCTGCAGGTAAACAGGTGGTAGAAACAACTTCAGTTTTCCACAAGATTTGAATACATCAAGGAAGATGAACAAGCATCACTATGCTATGAAATTCCCTTGAGCACAGCTAGTGATTGTCCACAGCCACTATGCTAAGTACTGGCTATAGAGTTAATATTGGAATAATTATCTTTACTGAGAAAGATATATGCAGACTTTAGAGAACAGAGTCTGACCTTCTTCACTGATAAAAGGAAGGAAAGAGTTACGGTTTATATACTTACAGGCCATGTATATGAGGAGCAGAGCAAAGAGCCAATTCACCTTAATCTGATCTTCAACACAAGTTTTTTTTTTAAGGAACTGGGTTAAAGAAACAGGATTGTGCTAAATGACACCTTTAACATTAAAACTTTCTCTGCATTTCTATTTCCAGAGCAAGAGATCCTCATGGCTGTAATGGTTTGAAAATGAATTGCCAATTTAGTTATTGAAGTGCTACAATCTGTAGAAATAGGAATATATCATACACAAAAAACTACTTGAGACAACACAAGCTAACTTAACATACTTTTCTAAATTGTGTAGTACAACTGTGAAAAATAAACTGGCAGGAACATGGAAAATGTGAAAATACATCTCCATGTTCTATTCTTCAGCAGGCTCCCTTCTGACTTGGCTCAGTACAGAGTTTTGACTTCTCTATTTTCCAAAAGAACAGGGAAAAAAAATGAATTTAGAGGCCTACAAAAGCTGAGCTGAGACTGGTAAGAAAAGAACAGCTGTTCTGAATAGAAAATTATACACATAACACTAGCTATTAATGATGAATACTATAAAGGATGGTTCCAGGGTGTTCTTTCTGCTTCCACCTGAATAAAAGTAAAAGCAAGTCTGGAACATTCAGATTGAAGTATATACAATATAATTATTTTGTGTTAATGGTTGCCATACGATATTGCCAAGGATGATTATGGATTACAGTTTTTTCAATGACAGCATAAGAATAGCCTTGCTGGAACAAACTAAGTTTTATCACACTTCCAGTAGTGACCAAATCTGATACATACTGTATGTAGCAGCAGACAGGAAGCCAAGACTATCCATTCCATCTAATCAAGTTGTTGCTTTTTCAAACAGCTGTGGTATATATATTTTTCCTCTATTCATACATTTGTAATTCCATCAACTCACTACAAGTGTATATGTATATTTTCCCCTGTAGCCTGTTTTACCATTACAACAATCTACAGATGTAAACCAGGCCAGTGATTTCATCACTAGGGATTCATAGCATCACCCAGTCATTCTTGTGCTAATGTTAAAAGTAAGGAGCACAGGCTTTGTTGATCTTCTTGTTGATGGCTGCGTAGTGATAACCTCTAATGAAGTGTCCTTTGAGATGATTGTAACCCAAGGAAATTCATAATTCAGACTCATGTTCTAGCTCTGTTTTCTTCAATTTGACACACTGATCACCTCACTCTGGCATGCCCATCCACTCGAAGGGCACCCACGTCATGAAACGAAACAAACTTTTTTTTGGCAATTCAGTAAGTCACTGTGAAATCATATGTAGTCTGCCCTTGCAGATGTTGTTGTGAAATACTAGAAGAAGCATAAACTTGCAAGATACCCTTAGATTTTTCACAGGCTGATCTGTTATCATAAATCCCAAGTTTCAGCATTGGGGAGAGAAGCCTTACACTCCCCAAGTCCTTTCTGTTTTGAAGGCCACATAAAGAAACCACTAATGACCCTATCAGTGGGTGAAGCTTCTTTTAGTTTCGGATTTTTACACACACATTGATAGCAGGAGCAGCCCACCTTCAGGACTTTCCATACTTTTGATGCCACTTTTAATTGGGATCTAATCTTTCTCTTTGACTATAGAGGCAGATAGCCGTTTGGCTGGAGCAGTACCCCCAAATTAAAACGGGGGAGGGGGAGGGGAGGTAGGATTAAATGCAAGTATGATTTGCAATTCCTCCAAATTAAGCTCACCGACACTGCCTGCTAACAGCAGGGCAGCGGTGGTCGCTACATTCCTGGAAAAGCAAGCATTCAAGCATCTCAGGGACACACACACACACACACACACACACACACACACACACACAAAAACCGTGTCGCTTGGAAAAAACAAGAGCTGGGGCCAGCCAGAAGCCTCTCTCAGACCAGGAGGAGAAAAGGCGAGGCGAGGCTGCTCGGGTCAAGCACTCGCGCTAGGAAGCAGGCGGCCACGATCTGGGTCATACTTTCGCCCAGGAATACAGTGGCAGGTGCCGCCTCCTCCTCCGCGGCTCGGATTCTTAAGAAAGGGCAGCGGGTTCTTAAGAAAAGAAGAGGCGGCCGGAGAAAGTCTTCTCCCTCAAGCTATGGGCCGGGAGAAACTCCGTAAAGTCTAGGCAAGGCAAGGGAACGGCAGCGGTGGCGGGCGGGCGGGACAGCGACCTGGCGTAGGGCCTGACCGCGTAGGCGGGGAGCCCAAAGGGAGCACAACTAGGGAGAGGGAGGTCGGGGCAGGACGCGCGGCTGGGTGGCCTCTTTCCCCCACCCTACCCACCCCTTCTCCTCAGTTCTAAACTCCGGCGGCGGCGACAGCTTCACTTGCCAGTCTCCGGAAGGAAAGGCGGTTATGGAGCCGGCTGGGCTCCGCCTCCCTAGGCGGCCCTGCTCTTCTCCCCCCACCCCACAGTTCCCGCCGAGGCAGTCCACTCCAACCCTGCGCCCAGCGCGCCCCTCGCCACCTCCTCCAAGCAGGTCGCCGCCGAATTCGCTGCCCGCCGCCACCCGCCCCGCCTCGCCGCAGCAACGAGACGCCGCCGAGCCGACCCCTTCTCGTCCTCGCCGCCGCCTCCTTAGCGAAGTGCTGGAGCCCTCCCCTCCCCTCCTCAGGCTCCCCGCCCAATCAGCCGCGGGGAGTCATCCTCTTCCTCCTCCTTCAGGTGCGCGGAGCGGCGCCACGACCTCCGCCTCCCTTCTTCCCCTCGCGCTCTTCTCTCTTCCCAGTCCCTCCGTACAAAGGCGGCCGCTCCCCCGGCCCGCGCCGTCTGCGGCAAGTGCTCGGCGCTGCCCCGGGGAGTGGGGCGGGCGGGCGGGCGGTCCCGGCCCCGATCGCCGCGCTAGCTAAGCTAGTTCGTCCGGCGGGGTCGAGGGGCGCGCCGCTTCTTACCTTTGGCTGCGTCTGGGTCGAGGAACATTTTCTCCTCGGCGTGCGGCCAGCCCTCGGGCTCCTCCAGACGAAGTAAATCCCTCCGCTGTGGGTGTGCGAGGTGGCGGCGAGGCGGGATGCTTTCTCGCTTAACGGAAAGCTCCGTGCCGTCTTCTCGGCGGCAAGCCCATCAGGCGCTGCACGGCAGCGAGGAAGGGGAGAAGCCACAGGCTGCAGGCGGCCCCGGAGTGACCTCCACAAACAGGTTGGCGTCCCAGGCGGCGGACTGCTGGGAAAGAGCGGGAACCGGCATGAGGAGGCTGGGTGAATGGACGGAAGCGCCTTGGAGGCTGGGGCTCGCTGACTGATTCTCCTCCTCCACCCAGGAATACACCAAGCCTCCGGAGCCCTTCCCTTCCCCTCCCCTCGATGTGTGTGAGGGTGTGTACGTGTGTGTGTGAGAGAGAGAGAGCACGCGCGCGCGCGCGCGCCCCAAGCCTCCTCGCAGGCGTCCGGTTGCTGCTCGCTGCTGGTGGGAGAGGAAATTGCAAGGCAGAGCGAGGGAAAGATGCGGCCCGGAGCAGCGCGAGAGTTTGATGCACCTTTGGCTTGCTCGCTCGTCCTCCCGAGGGGGCGGCGGCGGCGGCTTTCACTTTTCGGCTAACCTGGCGGCTTTGCACCTGAGCGTTTAAATCTCTCCTCCTTTCCCTTCCCACCCACCCCCGGTCTGCCGACGGCAGCAATGAAAGAAGTCCCGAGAGTTGCCCGAAGTGCACCGCGAGCTTCACACGTTAGAAGGGGCTCTGCCTGAAGAAAAAAAAAAGGGGGCTCCTGTACGCGTAATGCCATTAAAAAGGCCCCTCCCGCGTGTTACTAAAGCTCGAAAACTTACTAAAGAGGGGGGAGTGGGGTGACACAAAATCGAACACCATCCTGTTCCAAGAGCAGGTGCCTCGGTAGCTAGCGAACTTTACAACCTCGCACCTGCAAAGGGAGCTCTTTTCGTTCCCATTGCCTTTTTTTTTTTTTAACGAGGACTTTTGTAGTCTGTTCCGACGCCTTCAAGCATTTTTGTAGCCTGTTCCGATTCCCTTGAGCATTGTTCACGGCCCCGAGTGATCTACTATCCTTCTCGAGGTTTTAACGGGTTTAATTCGGGTCTTTTGCGCAACGTGGGCAGAATCCATTGAAAATAACCAGCAGGTTCCAAAGTCAGGTCCAGTGTATACGCTCCAGTTCAGGATTTCTTTTGTTTTATGCTTTAGGAAATTAAGAAAAAGTACCATCCCCTAGACTTCGTGATAAGCATAAATTTTCTTGCCTGAGCAATCTCACCTAAAAACTGGACTGGAGTTTGAGCTGAGAATGAGTAAATTCTAGCTGAGGCCAGAAGAATAAGACTCTGATTTCTTGTTAGAGCAAATGAATGCATAGTATCTTGTTCCTGTCTGGTATCTTCTTCCTGTCTCTCAGGGTTGCATTAACATTTGCTAAAGATACTTGAAGAGGTTTTGGAAAACAAATTTGTCCAAATGTATGAAGAAGTCCAAATTTCTTCACATTTTCATTACAAAATTCTGAGAAAAGCAATACTGTATATTAGAACACAGAAAAGTAAGACAGAAATTGAGCACTATAAAAAGCCCTGCTCATCAAACTCATTCTGAATTTTGGAAGAATTTTTCGTTATTTAGCTGGACCTTTAATTCCATGCTCATGTAGTTATAACTGCAGTTTATTTTTCCCTATAGCCTTAGAATCTTTGATTTAAATTCCACCTTCTCTTAAATATCTTGTATTTAGTTCAAATTTTAGTTTATTTGTGAAAATACACATCCGGTGATCTATTTTAAAAAAATATCAGCCTCCTTCTCCTTACCGCCCAAATGAAAGTCTGGAGTAGCTGCATTGTCCACTTGAAAGGGTTATTAAAAAGAGAAAGGCAGTGACATAATCTGCACACCCTTTTGCAAAACATTATGTCCATAGCAGTTATTAATAATGCTGATAGAGACATGGGGGGCTGTTGCTTAATCAGCATCACTTCATGTGTGTTATCACTCGAGTTTTAAACATTGTATAGTTTTTATATGAAAGACTGTATGGTATTAAAAGTGTCTAATTGCACATTTGCACTCATTTTCCTTCACTGCTGGAAACTTTTTTTTGAAAAATAATTCATTTACACAAATTACAGTTCTATGTTCCTGTTCAGCATAGATATCCTCCTGTTGTTGTTTTTTTAAAATTCCTTCTGTATAGCTGCCTCATTATCCCATCTCAAAATCCCCTCACCTCCATACCCTTTCCCACTTGCTGTTTATATGAGTTACTTTATAGAAAAGATCAGAGTGAGGTGGAGACACTATGAAATTGTACTGGAGGTAAGTAAGGACATAACTAAAATTAAATGTGATCCACCAGAATGATAACCGGATGTCCCTTTGGGTTGCAGTCTCTGCACATTATGCTACTGAAATCAATGTGAATTAAACAGCTTGAATATAAGGCTGTACCTACATAGCTCAATCCTGACTACATTAAGATTTTCTCCCAACTTTATAGAAAGATAGTGTTGCAATCCAATTCTGTACACATTAACAAACAAATAAATCCTACTTGACTCAGTGGAAGTTATGCCATATATCATTATTAAGTAGTAATTAGGGTTTTGGATATTACCACTAAATTCTAAACCTATTGAGAAATAGTAACAGAAACCTACCTCTTTGGAAACAAAGATAGTACTGTTTTTATCAGATGATATCCACTTTGTCTGGATATTCTAGGACCGTTATTAAAAAACAGTTGTTTTGGAAATTGATAGAATTGCTTTCTTAAAAAGAATCGTCCTGGGATGCTACAACTCTTTAACTTCATTATTATAGTTTGGCAAAGCTATTTCTTTTAGAGTGCATTTCTTAACTCCCCGATTAACCCAATTTGGGGGCGGGGTTGAAAAAATAAAGTAAAAAGGAAATAGCAAAGTATATTATACATAACTACAATAATAATTAAAATATATTATTGTATGATAATATAACAATAATTGTAATTACAATATTGTAAGGCCTCTGAGAAAGCTGAATACATCGATTGAAATACACTTCTTTTTAAGATGTCTTTAGTATGATTTAATTCTTTTTAAAGAAGTAAATGTGAATAGTAGATTTTCATTTCTTCATCTTGTGTTTGAAGCTTGATCTGGAATAAGCATTTGTTTGCCTTTCTACAAATAAATTTTATTTTTGTACTGAATGGGAACCAGATGAACTGTTTTTATTTCTCTCCCAAATAAGTTTGCCATATGCCAACAATGAGGTAACACAAATGAACGAATATAACAGGTTATATTGTGCTGCATATGGCAGGTGCCCCAAATCATAGACATGTGGCATTTTATAATGTAACACAAGTGGTTAAACACTGCACTGGATTATCAGCAAACTCTATTTTTTTAAAATAATAATGAACAAATATTTCCAGCAAGTGCACTTAAGAGTAGTTTGTCTAACAATTGGTTTTTGCTTCACCTGAGGCTGTGAGAATTCACTTTTGTTCAAATGGGGAAGGCAAGTGAATAGCCTGTCCTGTCTTTACCCCCAATATAACAAACATTCACTACTTAGTACAGGTTGCTATCTGCAGGGAAACAAGGAAGTTTTGGGTGGGAACCTTTCACTTAACTATTGACCAAAACCTAATTGCTCTAGTCTTTCTCACTACACTGTAATTTGAACCACAGACAAAGTGTATGCTTCGCATTGATCATTGTATATATAAAGTTGAAATCATCTCCCAGTGTGACAATAAAATGCTGCAGTTTGGGTGGATGAAGTCTTTTACAAGCTTCTTGCCTAATCCAGATCTCAAGATGGTTAATGTTTGATGATCTAAGGGTGGGGAAAGTCTGCTTAAAACCCTAGGAGCTTCTACAGTATAAACAGGATAGCCTTATGAATGCTGAAGTAATAAAAAGAGGTGACCATTCAGAACAATGAAACTTAAAGGTCGTGTGGTTAGGGACAGATAAACATTTTCCCCTATCAGCTGGAAACAGAAAAGGAAGGAAACTGTAGTTCTGATTGATCACACTGTTAACCAGAAGTAATTAATAGAACAAAGCTGCTAAGAAAAATGAATTGCTGTACATTAAGACTAAGAAATATTAACAAGGTCAACCCTGCCATGTATTAAGGCCTGAAAGAAGAGAGTTCTTTAATTCTACATGTTCAAAATGTTTCTTGCTTTTGTAAATAGCTGCTGCACAAATGGGACAAGCTCTCCTTGAGATAAGACTCAACATAGATCAGATTTCTTTTGAATGATTATCCTGATGTCAAAACATTGCTCAATACAGGCTGGTGAAAATGTTTAGAGATGGAAGGTGAGGGGGAAGCAAGAAATGGTATATAGATATGATCCTAACCTGAGTGGGAATCACTCAATCTAGTGGCTGCCAGACTTCTACCTGGGAAGCCTATTGATAAGGTTTCAGGTCATATATATGTCCTATTCAGACTTTGCATGCGATAGTCAAAGAAGTGTACTGTTTTCTTTGGAAGAAGCACTCATGTAGTTGAGCTTGCAGTTGTAACAAAGGTAGAGCACAGCTGGAGGCTTCCTTCACACTCTGACTCAGAGGCTGATGAACTAAACTGAAGGAAACAATCACCCAAATATCTTTTGTGTGGTGAGGTAGTCTAGACAACTGGGTAAGGATGAGAGTCTGATGTGAGAAAATTAAGTGGATGTCTCTTTTCTTTTAGATCAGTGTATCTCAATCTTGGGAATTTTAAGATCTGTGGATATCAGTTCTCAGAATTCTCCATCCAACATGCTGGAGAATTCTGGAGGTTGGCCCATACATCTTAAAGTCTAGAATTAGAAAGCCCCTTTAGAAAACTACCTACTTCCAGGGGAGACAAGGTACCTAAAGAAACTGGCCAGGCTAGAATCAAATTTAACAAAGAGAAGTTTGTAGTATCCAAAAAAAAGGGTGGGTGGGGGTGGGTGGGAGGGCAGACTGAAGAATAATTATACCAAAAAACTTAACTCAAGACAATTCTGGTTCTGTGACTGACATGGCATAGTGATCAAGAAAATAAAATCAGAAGAGGATAGATATAATTGACTATGCTTCTTCTTCTGTAGATATAATTGACTATGCTGCTGCTTCTGACAACCATAAGTAAGAAAATAAAGCATTACATTGTGTGCTGCCGTGCATTTATTAAATTATGACACCAGTGTGAATTTTGTGCAACAATTCCGACATGCGAGTCTGGGTTTCTTCAAACAGAATGCCAAAGAAGCAAGCATTGCAGCCTTCTGATTCAGAGCCACCTGCAGCAGATAATCTTGT